TCTATCTATCTATCTATCTATCTATCTATCTATCTATCTATCTATCTATCTATCTTACTGAAACCAGAAGTAGAAACTGGCTGGTGGGGAGACCTCCAAGTTACTCGAGTCTCTTGCGTGCGTAGTGTACGAGCCTGTTGCACGTGGGTGTATCGCTTTAGCTTCTTCTTCGGGTGTCAGTTCTGGAGCAGACATTGGCGATCATGGTAACCAACTCCTTCCTGTTGTCTGTCTGCTTGATCGGCTCTGTTTTTCTCTTTGTGTCATAATTTGTTGCAAAGTTGTTCAGACCATCTGTAAATGCTGTTCTTTGCCTTCCTATCCTCTATTTTTCTTTCTGTCTTTCTATCAACCTATGGAGGCAAAACACTCGGTTGAGAAAGAACTATAGCAGATGTCTAGAGAGTCAGAAGCATGGAAATTAGCAAACTGAACATCAATGCCAAAGAAGTCGGTGGCCTAGTGGTTAGGCTCTCGGGCTACCGTAAAGTCGTATGTTCGAGTCCCGTCAGGGACCCGACGTTGTGTCTTTGGGAAAGGCTCTTTTCACGAACTTTCCTCACTTCACCCAAATGGAAATGGGTACCCTGCTACAGACAGTGAACGATCTTGTCAGTTTGATAGTGTTTGAGAGCGTGAAATCCGCACTGTATGCCTCCGCGGAAGCCTAGAATGTTTGTGAGTGTTCTCAGAGGGTCTGCTGGGGTAATGATAGTAGTAACGCGCATAGAGGATGCTCTAGATAGAGCATGGATATGCGCTATATAAATGCAATTATTATTATAATAAATTATTTTGACATATCAGGAATAGTAGAAGAACGGTGGGCAGGAGCAGGTCACTTCAGAACATCTTGCGGAAGACACATAATATATGTGTGGCATCTCCTGAAAAGGTGTATATGAAAACAGTCTTGCAAGACAGATGAAACGTTGCATTAACTTGAAGAACGTACAGAAAAAAATGAAATCCGGAACACACAGCAATGCTTAAAAGACAACAGCAAAAGAAATGAGACGACTACTGAGAAGAGACTAGAAGAAATACCTGATTTATATATCAGAAACAGAAGAAAACATGAAATAAAGCATCCGGAGAGAAATGTATGAAGAAAATTCCAGCCTCGCCCAGGCATATGAAAAGATGAAACAGACAACTTTGGGACAGATTCTGAGCAAATTGTCAGGAGATTAAAAGGAGACTAAGAAAGGAATGTTGCCATAGATAAGATAAAATAAGATAAGATGAGATGAGATGAGATGCTTTTTTATTGTCCACATCCTGGCACCTTGGTTCGGTGTTTCATAACGCCAAACACACACACACACACACACACACACACACACACACACACACACACACACACACACACACACACACACATATGAGCACATACATACAAACATAAACA